AGTCTGGAAAAGGAATATTCTGCTAATACATCTTGAGAAAGACTTTTGTTTGCAAGGATTAACAGGCAGGAGAAAAGCTTCTTAATAGCTTTTAGTTACATCAGTTAACAATATCTAACCTGTATTTCCTAGTATTTCTGTGGGTTGAGAGAAGAAATCCGGCCAAATTGGCACTTCTGGCAAATTGAAAGAAATCTTTGCAATCTGGAAATACTGTGTGCTTTTAAAATAGGTCATATTTATTTAGTATTTTTTATTTTGTTCAGAAGAAAAAATAAATTTCCACCAGGAGCAAACATATCAAGTTTTCTGAAAAATTTCTAAATTGTGGTTCACCTCAGGATATTTATTTCAGCTAGTTTTCATTGTATGAAAACTTTGGTTCTTTTAGAAGTAGTATTTGGGCTGGGTAAGCATGATTTTTTCCCCCAAAATTGTATAATCTCTGCATATCTTGAAGCAACCAAAATGAAATTTAGTGTGATAAGACAAATCTGTGTTGTGGTTTTAATCACTGTATTATAAATTTACTTGTTGTACTTTAAAAAAAAATCATCTAAAATTGTAAGTATCAAAAATATTAAACTAATAGCTTAGATTAATGTGTTATAGAAATTGGACAAAACTATGTAGCTGAGAATATTTCACAGTGGTAGTGTTGGACAGACAACAGCTCCAGCTTCATTCAAGTTAACAGCTACGTTGTGAGTCATGCTCTGTATCAGAGAAACCTACCTTTGACATTTTCAGAGAGATACAGCAAGGTGCTTTTTGTTGATAAATATTTGCACCTTCCCCCAATGGCTAATGATGAATACAACTCACAGTTTCTTTTCTAGATCCAGTTTCTTTTCTAGATCTTTTCACTTTGTAGGAAACCATGTCTAAAGCCCTCCTAGACCTTTACCAAGCTTTTGGATTCAATTTCCATTTGAGTTTTGATTTTCAATTGATCAATGGAAAAATCATGGTTCTGATATTATTTTTTGGAAAAGGATTTGCAGCCTTTCCAATATTTCTTCATTCTTTTGTCTAGCTTAAGCTTACATTTCAGAATTTTGTAAGTCTCAATACTCTCTGCAGCAGTATCATGATATTGTTTATACTGGTTTGCATTTTAAATCTCTTTTTTTACCTGCAAAAGCTTTACTAGTTTTAGGTTTTTTTCAGATGAAAAAGGCGGAGGAAAGTATTTAAAGGGGTATTTTTTCCCTGAACATTTTACTTTTATAAACACATTTTCACTGCAAGTGATTATGAGATTAATATATTTTATAGTATTTTTAAAATAAATTAAATAATCTATCAGATACTGGTTTTATTTTTCATGCTTCTTAACCTTTTTTTAAATTATCTACAATGGAGCAATTTAAATTCTACATACGTAAGTGATTTTATATAATTTGAGTACTTCTTAATATTTCAGTGATCTTTAATTAAAAGAAATTATCCAGATAAGTCTCTACCCCTTCAGAAAATTCCCACTCCTCTCCAACCTGAGTAACAATGTTATTTTGCCTTTAAAACATATAATTCAGTTTTTTGCCATTAAATCATTCTAATTTCACAGTTGGGCTCTTTGAATCACACAAAATTACTCAAACAAAGCATCCTCCCTCAAAAACAGAGGTACAGTGGAATGTCATCAAGAAGTCTAGGGAAAATATGTGCCTTTTCCCAAAGGAAACCAGAGACCTGGTTACCTGCATATGGCTGAGGCACTCAACAACTTTTTTTCCCCCTCAGTCTTCATCAGAAAGAGCTCCACTCACATCAGCTGCAGGAGGCAACACAAGGGAACTGGAAGAATGACAGCATCCCACTGTAGGAGAAGATCAGGTTTGAGAACATCTAAGTAGCCTGAAGGTGCATAGGCTGATGGGACCTGGTAAGATACATTTGTGGGTCCTGATGGAATTGGAAGACAAAGTTTCTAAGCCACTATCCTCCATATCTGAGAAATTGTGACTATTTTGTGAGGCACCCATTGACTGGAAAGGGGAAACATCAAGATGGGATTTTCTTCATCTTGAGGGTCTGACAAAAGATTTCTAGAAACCTCATGGTTTTCACACTGCTACCCTGATATAATCTGAAAGTAATTATTCAGGGGAAAAATACAATCTTTGAAGGAAACAGCAGATATGAGCCAGCCATGAACCTCTCTCTGCAGTAATTGCTATGAGGAACAACTCTGCAGCTCATGCTGTCTTTTTTGTTGTTGTTGTTTGATTGGTTTGAGGTTTGATTTGTTTTGGAGACTGTTACAGTTTGTATAGACATGGATGCTGTTTTACTGCTGGTTTCTTTTTCTTTTGTGGCAGTTTGTGTGGGCATGGATACTGTTGTTTTGCTTCTCTTTTCTTCTTTTTTAAGAAAATGCTGCACTACACCATATAGTGCTTTGTTCTAAAGCAGGTTGCAAGCTGGGTAGAGAAGACAAAACAGAACTAACAGCAACACTATGCTATCTTTGGTATCTAGAGGGAGCTTAACCTTTTCAAAAACTGTTGTGTCAAACTTGAAAGGCTGGAAAAAGTAATTCTTTACCCCTCTCCCCAGGGGCTGTGAGATTGTTGAGGCCCCAAACATAGCAACTTAGATTAGGACAAGAAAACAAAAGTGAATATATATTTCAAATTATGTTCATTGTCTTTGAGGTTATCATGCAATAGATATAATAGACTAATAATGCAATTTTTATACTGTTCCCTGATTTACACAGGAGCATTATAATAGGCAGATAATGCCCCATGCGTGGAAAAACAGAGTTAGGTATGAGACCCATATAAACATGTTAAGCATCATAGCAAAATTGTAATTCTGACTTTCTTAGTAGCTTCTCGCCGCACATTGGGCGCCAAAATTATGTCCTGGTTTGAAAAGCAAAACTAGTGAGAGGCTTTAAGTCAGAAATATAATTTATTAGGAAAAGTGAATAAAGAACTAAATGCATATAACAGTACAAAGAAGAACTACTGACAGAGTTAGAGATATAACTTGACCCTTGCTGGTTAGAGTCGTGGTAGCAGATATGGTTCTGTCCAAGCAGTGGTCCTGTAGACTGATGTAGTTTCCCTCTGGAGGTCCAGCATAGAAACGATCTCAGCTGTTCCTCTTGGAAGAGGGGATCTACTTGTCTGCACAACCCTGATTATATCCTTGATGGCATTGTTTGGCTCCTCCCTCTGGGCGGAGCTACTCACAGTAGAATGCTGTGATCTTATCAGTCATGTGGCTAAAAGAACAGGTCCTCCTGGAGGGACTTATCTCTGAGTCACGAGATAAGGGGGGGAAAAAAAAGGAATTGCAGCTCGAGGTGGTAATATTATAACCTAGGACAGAGACTCAATTAAAGATATAGTACATGGTGACAAATTATCTATGATCTATTGATGTAGCACTCGAAGATAAGGTAAGGGGACTTTCAACAGAGTGGGAAAGTGTAGGATAAAGATATGAAGAGCCTGCTCCTTCAAGGACCATTAATCATAAGCTGGGTACAAAAGAGAACATGGTTCCCAGTGAAGGACGTACATGTATCACACTGACTCTTACTGTAAAACCTCCTGGACAGGTGAGGAGGAAATGGTGCAAGCAAGTTTCTTATGAGGCATAAAAAATACATATTTTGCAGTATATCCCAAAGGGGACAATTTTGGTTAAAGCCATTTGGGTCTGCAATAAAACAAACCTCTGTAACATAGGGGTCCAGACCTGCCCCAGGGAATTGGCCAGGCTAAGCAGTAATACAACAAGCTACTCAACTTTGCAGGATCACAGAAGAGTGAAAGTGTCATGCAACATGATCTGTAGTGTTTGTGCATGGAGTGAAAAAACATAGAACACCTAGAACTGATGGTGATTTATGATAAGTGAATTTTTAAAATTTTGTTTTTCTATGGGATTTGGGGTTTTCAGGAAGTAGAATATTTCCATTTCTCCTTGTTGTTTTATAAAGTCATATCTGACAATCTGGTGACAAACTAAGGAGATTCTTCTAGCTAGATGACTCTTCACATTTTTCTCTCTCCTCTTGTCCTTCCATTCCTCTTCCAAAATCAGTTTAAAACTACTTAGTGCTATGGTAATTTCTTGTTGATACTCATGTCGAGCCCTAGCCTACCTTAGACCAGTTCAAAGGATTTCTCAAAACACAAGTACCCAACAACTACTGTTGCTGAACCATGACTACATAACATAAAGACAACAAACCATTAAAGAAGCAGGTTCATGTGCATGGCTTTGCAGCACAGCTGCCGTGCTTTCACCAGATCCTGTCTATTCAGCACACCAAAGACTGATAGTGGTCTGAATTGGAACTGTAATTAGGAGTCTTAATCTGAATCAGGCAATGACCAGAAGTGATAAACTAAGCAGCCTGCAGAACAGAGCTCTTGTTTATTCAAGTGTGCAGTAAAGGTAGAGGTTTATTCATAGTAGTTAACTTATCTAACTCCACCTCTGCTTATAAAATTTTAAATTTATAAATTTGATCACTGAGAAGTTATCTAAATGAAAAGCAAAGAAAACACAGGTCCATAAACTCCAGTATTTAAGAGGGAACATTTAACACAGCTTAGGACCCTCTTTTAAATTTATCATGATGCCATGGTATTATAAACATTATTGTGCACAAAAAGATATTAGAAATTTTACAAATATTACCAAAATCATGTAAGTAGAGTGTTATATTCCTGACTGACAAGATACTGTACATGAAGCTGAGGCATAAAAGAGTTAAGCAAGTTGATCAAGTTCACAAAACAAATCCTTTGTAATATAAGGACAAACTCAATCTCACAGGTTTCAGTCTGTGTCTTTCCCCCAAAACGATTCTTTCCCTTCAGGTTGTTATTTAGGAGTGTACTAGCTACCTTGCTTATTTCTCTCACCACTGACACAGACTGTAATCCTACATTAAATAATTTTCTTATGCAAACAGAAAAGTTTTATTAACAAACAGAACTGTGAAAATTAACAAAACCAGAGGAGCTTACCCAAATCCTGAAAACAAGCGACAGAAGAGGAAGAAGCCATAGCCCTGGACAAAGGATGAAAGGAAGGCAAAGAATCCATTGACAGACATGCATATCAGGAGTGATTGTCTCCTTCCCACCTTGTCTGCCAAGCCTCCCCAGAAGAATGCCCCCACCATCATCCCAAGGTACACGATACTCCCTGTAATACACAAAAATACAAAAAGAGATATTTTGTGAGCTACATAATTGACCACACCAAAATCAGTTAACCTTCTATATTTACAAAAAAATTAGTATACAGATGATTTTATCATTTCTCACTGAATAGAAATGATATGCACTGTTTTGCAAATGTATCTAGAGAGAACAGATTTTCTACTGTCTTTGTCATCTGTTACCAGACACACTTAAAATAAATATTAAACTGAAGCTTAAAATAAATATTAAACAAGGTTCATCTAGCTAAAACAATAAACATGCAGGCAAATAAGTCTGAACAGGAGGAGAACATGTAACTGTTTCCTCAGAATTAAAATGAATTCATGTTAAGTATTGCAAAAAATTATTACTTTCCCTACAGATAACAATTTTTCTGAACATCTCTAGAGTTTGAGCAGTCCTGCAGGAGATTAAATACTGGGATCACTGGGAGTAATATGTGCTAAAAAAAGTTGATTATAAAACATTTTCCACCTGAGGTTTATAGAATCATAGAAATCCATCTTGATTGATTTTTTTCTCCAACCTACATCAGTGTGTTTCTTTATTTTAAAAGTCAATGTTCTTTCAAACCAAAATCACTGTAATGTTCTTGACTTGTTTTGGTCATGTTCCCCCCACCTAATAATTTTAAACAGATAAATGTATCTGTTCATTTATTAAAATGACATAGCAAAAAAAAAATTGGGGTGATATTTTTTTAACAGAAATTGTGTTTCCACATGTAGTTTCTCACAGAAAGATAAGTTGAAATATTTAACAGTTTGATTGTTCACATCTTAGCACACTGCACATAATTTCCTTTCCAAACACCCTGTGGAACATTTAAAAAATATATACAACATATTGAGCAGATTGTCAGAAGGAAAAAGTAATTCCCAAGTTTTGGACAGAACCATTAACATTGTATTTTGTTTGATATTTGGAATTCTTTTTCCATCTAATTTCTTCTTGAACTTCCCAGGTTAGGTTTTCTATATCCTGCATACTGCTACCATCTTCTACATCTTCTTCAGAGTAGGAATTACTTAAAAAGGTGCTAGAAGTAATTAAAATAATAGAAATCAATGTTATATGTCTCTTTTTGATTAGTCTCAAGAATGGACAAATTCTCCAGCATTTCTACTGGACTCTAATTGCTGTGAAATTCTGGCCTCCAAAAGAATCACCTTTGCCCTGCAGAAGGTAGTTGGATGGTAAAGGAAGTTGAAAAAAACCCATTTAAATTCCTGGGTTTTGTTAAATTTGAATCACTGTAGAGTTTGCTCATCAGTATTTCTGTTCTTGGAATTACAGATGATAATATCTGAAGTGCAGACATCTGTAGGTCTTATACACCCTGAATTTTCCCTGTTCCCTCTCATGTTCCGTGCAAGCAGTTTCCACTGCTGTTTCCTTATGAGACGTAATTTAAAATAGGATATTTTTAAAATAGGATACACATTGTGTTATATTGTATGTTAACAAGGTTATAGAATCAGAATCATAATGTGGTTTGGGTTTGTAGGGACCTTAAAGACCATCTTAAATTTCAATCCCCCGCCATGAGTAGACTGCATAGAGCTGCATCAAATCTCAGGATAAGATAACAGATGCAATACTGCTCATCATGGGAGATTTGCTAAAGCAACAAACTCCATAAGAACAACAGTTAAGTGCCTTCTAAAAATAATTTTTTACAGTAGATATTTCCTAGATGTTGCTGGGTTCTTAGACTTTCATCAAAGAATATTGATGATAAGTAAATCTAGAATTTGCAGAATTACTAATACATCTTTCTTTACCTTCATTAGCTCAGGAAGGACACAGACATTACAATATTATTTTTCCATATAGAGGTGTTTAGGAGCAGACATTTACTGGATAACTTTTTCATTCTGATCGGAAATTTTATTTCACTAGTTGAGATTCTCCTATAAATGCACATGGCTAATGTATTTTCTGGTCCTAAAGAGACAAAGATTGGTGGGTAATTTAGCATATTCATTCAACTGCCTTAAGACCTCTTGTGTGGTCAAGGTTATTTTACCATTCTGCAGGTGGGTCATTGCTCATAAGCAGTTTAGAGACTCTATCCAACAGATCTACTTCTTGCTTGTCAATAGGATTGGAAGGAATGTAGCAAAGATAGTCAAATAGCTACATTGCCAGCAGACAGATTTCAAAAAAGGAAAAAAGTTAATTTTTTTTTCTTACAGTGAAATTCATTGCATTCTTTTCTGCATAAGTATTATTGGGGTTTCCCAGTCAACATTCTAATATAAGAAACAGAGAAGACAAATTAAACAGCCTTATATTTCTTCATAGAGATTACTTTGAAATATTTCAATTCAAATTTTACCGATTTACATTCTTGTGATGCACAAATATATCAAAACACTTTGAACAATGAAATAAAAATGTTTCCAAGCCTTGAGTTTAAAAAAAAATAAACTTTCTTTTAGATGAAAAATCCTTTGGTCATTGTACTGTGTTTTGGACTCTTATACTGATGTAATTCTCCTAAAGAGCATTCAAAAGATGCTGCTAAAAATAATATTCTCATCCTGTCAATAAACTGCTATAAATAAGCCGCTCTCTGAGCAGCAGCATTATCTTATTCTTTTGCATTATATTAACTTCCAATTTTTTCCTAATTGCCTTGTAGTTTTTGCACAAATCCTCTCCTTGATGAAAGATCCGCAGCCCTTCCATTCTGAACCTACTACAGCTACCAAAAATAAATGTTTCAGAACATTTTCTGTCTTACTTCTATTCTGTATTTTCTATCTCTCTTTATTGTAAGAGGTTCATAGAATCATGGAATGGTTTGTGTTGTAAGGGACCTTAAAGCCCATTTCTTTCCAACCCCCCTGCCATGGGCAGGGACACTCCTCATTAGACCAGATTTTTCAGACCCCCATTCACCCTGGCCTTGCAAACTTCCAGGATGGTGCATTCTCAGCTTCTCTGTACAATCCGTTCCAGTGCCTCCATAATGAAGAACTTCTTCCTTATCAAAACCTGCTGGATTCTGAACAGTCTCCAGATTCTGGGCATCTCCTGTTGGCATTGGCACCAAAATGCTAGAATTGGGGTAGATTGAAGTTCTCCTCCCTACTTTAGTTTACTTTAGTTAACTTAAGTTTAAACCCTTCCTGCATCATGTAAAAGAAGTGCCCTTTCCCTCAACTTCCAAATTTTTCCTTAAGATCATTTTACGCTGCAGCAATATTCACAATAAGTCATAAAAGTGAGAAATGGCAAAGGATAACTCTAACCATGTAAAATGGCTGAATAACTACCCAAAAAATATAAGTCACCAATGAGATAAAATGATACTTTTATTGTCATCAGATTATCATGAGCATTTCCTTTCTAACCTTTGTAGCTCTTGTTTATTATGTTATGCCACTGGTCAGAACACCAATCTCTTGTGGACAACACTGAATTTTTTGCACATATTTCATAATTCACACATTGCATTTTGCATAAATTCATATATGTAAGAATTAAATATCATGTTATTACTCAATCTATATATGTATATAGACATCAACCTAGCATGTGATGCTGAAGGTGGCATTCCTTTTTGAACAGCTACTACCAACCACAAGGCTGGCTGATTTTCTTTTTCTTTTCACACACTTATGCCTCTAAAGAAATCAGCTAATACAGTGGAAGGAGCACACTAGTTTGATATCCAGTCCGATCTTAGAACATATTTTAAAATATTTTAAATTATAAGGGCTTTGAATGATATCTGTATCATATGTCTTGGATTTTCCCCAGAAGGTAACATGTAATCTAAAACTGTCAATTTTTGGAAGAGCACTGAGAAGAGGCACATGGTACCTGAAAAGAAACACGATAAAATAAATAATCTCTTTTATTGTTCCTCTGACAAGTTTTATCAAACCTGTATTTTCTTTCCACAGCAGAAATCTTAACATACTTCAATGATTTTCACCCACTGCAGAAATGTACGTAAAACACACTTACATCCCCTTCAGACAAGGAAATCTTAGTGTGGAATTGCTTTACACTATGCACATGCTTTTGTCTACCAGGTGGCTAGATATTTTTAAAGGGATGCCTACACAGCACCTTTCAGAATGCTAGAAAGAGTTTAGCTTTACAAAGCAGCTGACCAAGAAATCCTTTGGTATCCATATGCTATTTATGGTCAGTTAAAAGAATGATGTAATAGTAAATCCATAACTAGTCACTTCAGTTAAGCAATATTTTACTACTTGTGCTGCCATAACTTCATTACTTGCTGATATCTGTTGTAATTCAGAGACTGGTATCTAAATGATACACAAAACCTCCTGAGAAATCAGTTTGTAAGTATATTTAGTCAGGAAAAAATACAGCAATGAAAGAAAAGTTACATTTCATTGCAATAGAGAAACTCAGAGGCTATGGGACTCCCTGATTAACTTTTTGCATTAACATAAATCATAAATCAGTTCTAAAACCAGCATGAAGTTTTTGCTTCCTATTATGTTGTTTAAGCAATTTGTCTGAATGAGGAATGCATTTCATACAACCAGAAAAAGTATTCATGTTATAAAAAAAACTCTAAAAATAAGATTAAAATACTATTTATATTTTGGAAAAAGCAATTATAAATGTGGTGCTAAGGCAATTCCATAAGAAGCAATTTTTTTTTAAAGAATTATAATGTAATCAGTGTTTCACTTACTTGTACTAGGAGCTTTTCGTATGCTATTCTTTAGAATATAATAATTCATAGTGAAGTACTACAATGCCTATAAGTAGAATGATGAATATAATAAGAATATCCAGATTTATATTTGTTTTAACCCTGATAATACAGCACATTTGGAGTTTAAAGATGATAATATTTCAGACCTGTATTAAAGTATAATCTGTTGATACTTTCTTTGATCGGAAGACTTGGAAATTTGTAGCAACCTATGCAGCAGCTGTCAATAACCTCTAATTAAGTGTTTGCAATGGGAGGTAATAAAGGCA